CGCAATTTGGCAGTTTTGTGTTAAATGACAGGAAGCATCGTGGGAACACAGAGGAAAGGTAATAATTATGGGAAAATTGCTCTGACCAGCGGAAATGAAGCACACTTTGCTCCTGTGCTGGTCAGAGCTGGTCAAGCGGAGGAATCCTCCATAAGGCAGAGTCCCTACTTTGTCTTATGATTTTAAAGAAAACTAAAAAAGACAGGAAGAAAAGAACAGATCTTGAGAGAGGGGGAGAAAAGGAAGAGATTGAGGAAAGGTAAGTTCGGCATGACAGTGCCGCTTTAATCCACCAGTAAGAGTGCTCTGTGTCATTTTACACAGCGTGGGAAAGTTGTTTGGAATTTTCCCACGCTGTGTAAAATGACACAGAGCATTCTGATTGGTTAGCTTGAAATCCAGCCAATCAGAGTGCTCTGTGTCATTTTACACAGCGTGGGAAAGTTCTTTGGAATTTTCCCACGCTGTGTAAAATGACACAGAGACCTCTGATTGGTTAGTTTGAAATCCAGCCAATCAGAGTGTTCTGTGTCATTTTACACAGCGTGGGAAAATTCCAAAGAACATTCCCACGCTGTGCAAAATGACACAGAGCAAAATGACACAGAGCTGCGCAGTGGTGGGGGGCGGGGGGCGGGGGGAGGACAGTAGGTCCCCCCCATTGTTATTTAAGGCCCCCACCCTTTATTGTTATTTAGGGCCCCCACCCGCTGGGCAGGGGTGGGGGCAGCGGGGAGGACAGTTGTTCCCCCCCATTATTGTAATTTAGGGCCCCCACCTGCCGTGCAGGGGTGGGGGCCAGGGGAGAGGACAGTAGGTCCCCCCTTATTGTTATTTAGGGCCACCACCCGCTGTGCAGGGGTGGGGGCCAGGGGGGAAGACAATAGGTCCCCCCTTATTGATATCTAGGGACCCCACCCGCCGCTCAGGGGTGGGGGCAAGGGGGGGCAATAGGTTCCCCCTTTAGTTTAAAAGCCCCCACTAGCGTGTTGCGGGTAGGGGCTCAGGGAGGAATTCTTAATAGACATGTCACTGTTTAATAGACATGCCCCTACTCGCGGTATAGCGAGTAGGGGCATAATTTAATAATACTAAGTACCAAGCTTATATAGAGGCTGGGTCACATGCTGCACTGGCCAATCACAGCCATGCCATTAGTAGGCATGGCTGTGATGGCTTCTAAGGGCACACGAGCCAAATGCTTGTAGATTGGCTGCACTGCAGCCTTTCAAAATGCGTCATTAAATCGCCGAACACCGAACTCCAACCAGAACATACAGTGATACTTTTCAGTTCGGGTTCACTCAACTCTACACATAACCCCTGCCGGCCAAAAGGGAGGAGGAAATGGGGCTGCAAGGTATGTCTGGAGAAGCACAGGATCGTACAGGATGGGAGAGCGGCCACCTCACCTTCCTGATGGATCCGCTAGGCATTGCTTTGACTACCGTCTAAGCAGAGCTGCCATCAGAAATTTTGGGGCCCCTGACAAAGCACAAGGTCTGGGCCCCCACGGGCCCGCCCACGCCCTACCTAGTCCGCTGACAATGATGCAGGACTGAATGCGGTGTGTATAGTGGAAGTGAATTAGAATGTGAGTAATGGATGTAGTGTTTGTGTGTATTAGATCCTGTTTGTGCAGTGAATGCAGAGTGTGTGTTTGTGTAGCGGATGCAGTGTGTATAGTGAACGCAGATTGTGTTTGAGTAGTGGATGTAGTGTGTGTACAGTGATGCAGTGTGTGTTTGTGTAGTGGATGTAATGTTTGTGTGTACTAGATGCAATGTGTTTAGTGGATGCAGTGTCTGTAGTGCATGTAGCGTGTGTATTAGACGCAGTGTCTCTGTATAGTGAATACAGAGTGTTTCAATGTGTGGTGGATGTAGTATGTGCACTGTGAAAATAGGATGTTTGTGTAGTGGATGTTGTGTGTATAGTTAATACAGAGTGTATGTTAGTGTAGTGAATGCAGAGTGTGTGTTAGTTTAGTGAATGCAGAGTGTGTGTCAGTGTAGTGAATGCATAGTATATGTCAGTATAGTAAATGCAGAGTGTGTGCATAGTGTAGTGAATGCAGAGTGTGTGTTAGTGTATAATGAATGCAGTGTGTGTTAGTGTGTGGTGGATGCATAGTGTGTGTTAGTGTGTAGTGAATGCAGAGAGTGTGTTAGTGTGTAGTGAATGCAGAGTGTTTGTTAATGTGGTGAATGCAGAGAGTGTGTTAGTGTGTAGGGGAAGCAGAGTGTATGTTAGTGTAGTGAATGCAGAGTGTGTATTGGTGTAGTGAATGCAGAGTGTGTGTCAGTGTAGTGGATGCAGTGTGTGTGTCAGTGTAGTGGATGCAGAGTGTGTTAGTGTAGTGAATGCAGAGATTGTGTTAGTGTGTAGTGAATGCAGAGTGTGTGTTGTACTAGTGTATGCAGAGTGTGTGTTGTATTAGTGTATGCAGTGTGTGTCAGTGTATTGTATGCAGAGTGTGTGTTGTACTAGTGTATGCAGAGTGTGTGTCAGGGTAGTGTATGCAGTGTGTGTGTTGTATTCGTGTATGCAGTGTGTGTTGTATTAGTCAATGCAGAGTGTGTGTTGTATTAGTGCATGCAGAGTGTGTGTCAATGTAGTGAATGCAGATTGTGTGTTAGTGTAGTGTATGCAGTGTGTGTGTGTTATATTAGTGTATGCAGAGTGTGTTTGATTAGTGAATGCAGAGAGTGTGTTATTGTGTAGTGAATACAGAGTGTTTATTAATGTGGTGAATGCAGAGAGTGTGTTAGTGTGTAGTGGATGCAGAGTGTGTGTTAGTGTAGTGAATGCAGAGTGTGTATTGGTGTAGTGAATGCAGATTATGTGTCAGTGTAGTTGATGCAGTGTGTGTGTCAGTGTAGTGGATGCAGAGTGTGTTAGTGTAGTGAATGCAGAGCGTGTGTTAGTGTAGTGAATGCATATATTGTGTTAGTGTGTAGTGAATGCAAAGTGTGTGTCAGGGTAGTGTATGCAGTGTGTGTTGTATTAGTGTATGCAGAGTGTGTGTTGTATTAGTGTATGCAGTGTGTGTGTTGTATTAGTGAATGCAGAGTGTGTGTCAGTGTAGTGTATGCAGTGTGTGTGTGTTGTATTAGTGTATGCAGAGTGTGTGTCAGTGTAGTGTATGCAGTGTGTGTGTTTTATTAGTGTATGCAGAGTGTGTGTCAGTGTAGTGTATGCAGTGTGTGTGTGTCAGTGTAGTGTATGCAGAGTGTGTGTTGTATTAGTGTATGCAGAGTGTGTGTCAGTGTAGTGTATGCAGAGTCTGTGTTGTACTAGTGTATGCAGAGTGTGTGTTGTATTAGTGTATGCAGTGTGTGTTGTATTAGTGTATGCAGAGTGTGTGTCAGTGTAGTGTATGCAGAGTGTGTCAGTGTAGTGTATGCAGAGTGTGTGTCACTGTAGTGAATGCAGTGTGTGTGTGTGTCAGTGTAGTGTATGCAGTGTGTGTGTTGTATTAGTGTATGCAGAGTGTGTGTTGTATTAGTGTATGCAGTGTGTGTGTTGTATTAGTGTATGCAGAGTGTGTGCCAGTGTAGTGTATGCAGATTTTGTGTTAGTGTAGTGTATGCAGTGTGTGTGTGTCAGTGTAGTGTATGCAGAGTCTGTGTTGTACTAGTGTATGCAGAGTGTGTGTTGTATTAGTGTATGCAGTGTGTGTTGTATTAGTGTATGCAGAGTGTGTGTCAGTGTAGTGTATGCAGAGTGTGTCAGTGTAGTGTATGCAGAGTGTGTGTCACTGTAGTGAATGCAGTGTGTGTGTGTCAGTGTAGTGTATGCAGTGTGTGTGTTGTATTAGTGTATGCAGAGTGTGTGTTGTATTAGTGTATGCAGTGTGTGTGTTGTATTAGTGTATGCAGAGTGTGTGCCAGTGTAGTGTATGCAGATTTTGTGTTAGTGTAGTGTATGCAGTGTGTGTGTGTTGTATTAGTGTATGCAAAGTGTGTTTGGTTAGTGAATGCAGAGAGTGCGTTAGTGTGTAGTGAATACAGAGTGTGTGTTAATGTGGTGAATGCAGAGAGTGTGTTAGTGTAGTGAATGCAGAGCGTGTGTTAGTGTAGTGAAGGCAGAGTGTGTTAGTGTAGTGAATGCAGAGATTGTGTTAGTGTGTAGTGAATGCAGAGTGTGTGTTGTAGTGTAGTGTATGCAGAGTGTGTGTCACTGTAGTGAATGCAGTGTGTGTGTGTGTCAGTGTAGTGTATGCAGTGTGTGTGTTGTATTAGTGTATGCAGAGTGTGTGTTGTATTAGTGTATGCAGTGTGTGTGTTGTATTAGTGTATGCAGAGTGTGTGCCAGTGTAGTGTATGCAGATTTTGTGTTAGTGTAGTGTATGTAGTGTGTGTGTGTTGTATTAGTATATGCAGAGTGTGTTTGGTTAGTGAATACAGAGAGTGCGTTAGTGTGTAGTGAATACAGAGTGTGTGTTAATGCGGTGAATGCAGAGAGTGTGTTAGTTTAGTGAATGCAGAGCGTGTGTTAGTGTAGTGAAGGCAGAGTGTGTGTTAGTGTAGTGAATGCAGAGATTGTGTTAGTGTGTAGTGAATGCAGAGTGTGTGTTGTATTAGTGTATGCAGTGTGTGTTGTATTAGTGAATGCAGAGTGTGTGTTGTATTAGTGTATGCAATGTGTGTGTTTTATTAGTGTATGCAGAGTGTGTCAGTGTAGTGTATGCAGTGTGTGTGTTGTATTAGTGTATGCAGAGTGTGTGCCAGTGTAGTGTATGCAGATTTTGTGTTAGTGTAGTGTATGTAGTGTGTGTGTGTTGTATTAGTATATGCAGAGTGTGTTTGGTTAGTGAATACAGAGAGTGCGTTAGTGTGTAGTGAATACAGAGTGTGTGTTAATGCGGTGAATGCAGAGAGTGTGTTAGTTTAGTGAATGCAGAGCGTGTGTTAGTGTAGTGAAGGCAGAGTGTGTGTTAGTGTAGTGAATGCAGAGATTGTGTTAGTGTGTAGTGAATGCAGAGTGTGTGTTGTATTAGTGTATGCAGTGTGTGTTGTATTAGTGAATGCAGAGTGTGTGTTGTATTAGTGTATGCAATGTGTGTGTTTTATTAGTGTATGCAGAGTGTGTCAGTGTAGTGTATGCAGTGTGTGTGTTGTATTAGTGTATGCACTGCGTCTACTCTTCTCCTCTGATAACTCTCGTGAGAACCGCGGCCTGCGTGCCGCGGAGCGCTGCCATGGTAACCCGTGGCAACGCTCAGAAGGTCGCGGGTCTCGCGAGAGTTATTAGAAGAGAGGAGAAGAGAAGAGTAGACGCAGTGTGCTGGGCCCTCTCTGCGGTAACAGGGAGCCGGGGGGCCCGTGGCTGCACACATAGATAGCGATATTCGCTATCTATGTGTGCAGAGAGGGAATGTGGTGACCGGGGCTGCCAGAGCAGTCCAGGCCCCCAGGACCGCCTGGCCCGTGACAACCATTATGGCGGCCCTGCGTCTAAGAGGCAAAATGCCAATCATTGATCCAGGTGCCAGCCGCACCTGGAACAGTCAAGTCTCTGAGTGTGTCTTTTGGGCTGGCTGGTAGTTGATTATTGTACAAAATAAAAAGCTTGGCGCTCATAAAAATAACATCCAGCCTCCAAAGAGCTTAGACTCTGCCCTCCAATTTTGCCTCTTTTTAAATCAATGGTAAGAACAAACTTTGAATATGCTGTGCAATTTTGGGCACCTTCTCTAAACAGAATATCATGGCACTAGAATAAATAACAATGGATTTGAAGATTTCAGTATGAAGAAAGGCTAATAAATTTAAATCTGTTTAGTTTAGAAAAACAGTGCCTCAGAGTGGATATCATAGCATTGTTTAAATATATTCTGGGCAAATACAAACCAAGTCACTTTGGATAAGTCTCTGTGAGCTTGCCACATCTTACAACTGGGATTTTTGCCCATTCCTCCTTGCAAAACTGCTCCAGCTCCTTCAAGTTAGATATTTTGCGTTTGTGAACAGCAATCTTTAAGTCTGACCACAGATTTTCTATTGGATTGAGGTCTGGGCTTTGACACATTTACATGTTTCCCCTTAAACCATTCAAGTGTTGCTTTAGCAGTGTGTTTGGGATCATTGTCCTGCTGGAAGGCGAACCTCTGTCCTAGCCTCAAATCACACACAGAATGGTACAGGTTTTGCTCAAGAATATCCCTGTATTTAGTACCATCCATCTTTCCCTCAACTCTGACCAGTTTCCCAGTCATGACTGCTGAAAAACATCCCCACAGCATGATGCTGCCACCACCATGTTTCACTCTGGGATGGTGTTCTTTGGGTGATGTGATGTGTTGGGTTTGTGCCATACATAGTGTTTTCTTTGATGGCCGAAAAGTTCAATTTTAGTCTCATCAGAACAGAGCTCCTTCCTCCATACATTTTGGGAGTCTTCTACATGCCTTTTCGCAAATTTAAAATGTGCTATTTTGTTTTTTGCTGAAAGCAATGGCTTTCTTCTGGCCACTCTGCCATAAATCCCAACTCTATTGTCGTCCTATGTACAGATACTCCAGTCTCTGCTTTGTAACTCTGCAGCTCCTCCAGGGTTACCTTAGGTCTCTGTGCTGGCTTTCTAATTAATGCCCTCCTTGCCTGGTCTGTGAGTTTTGGTGGGCTGCCGTCTCTTGGCAGGTTTGCTGTTGTGCCATGTTCTGTCCATTTGGTTATGATAGATTTGATGGTGCTCCTGGGGATCATCCAATATTTGGATATTTTTTTATAACCTAGCCCTGACTTGTACTCCTCAACAACATTGTCCCTTACTTGTTTGGAGAGTTCTTTGGTGTTCATGGCAGTGTTTGGTTAGTGGTGCCTCTTGCTTAGGTGTTGCAGCCTCTGGGGCCTTTCAAAAAAGGTGTGTATATGTAATGACAGATCATGTGACACTTAGGTTGCACACAGGTGGACATTATTTCATTAATTATGTGACTTCTGAAGGTAATTGGCTGCACCAGAGCTTTTTATGGGCTTCATAACAATGGAGGTGAATAAATACACACAATTTTCTGTTTCCTATTTCTAAAAAATAGTTTTATGTATATATTTTTCTCATTTCACTTCACCAACTTAGACTATTGTGTTCTGATCCATCACATAAAATTCAGATTAATAAAACATTGAACTTAAGGCTGTAATGTAACAAAATAGTAAAAAAGTCAAGGGGGTGAATACTTTTGCAATGCACAGTATACATAGGACACAAGACTGGAAGAAAAAAGATTTAGTCTAAGGCAAAGAAAAGGGTTCTCTAAGTAATTTCTTCAGTAAAAACAATCAAGATGTGAAAGAGGTGCTTTAATCAAAGACCTTAATGAATGCAAGTTTGTTTTCCCGCATATATAACTATGGATTAGTAATATTGGTGATGATGGTTCTTGTGGTGGGGAGAGAACAGTGGCTGGAGTGTCAGCAGTCCTCCAACTGAAGTCATGATGTTCTCAGAAGCCATGGCACTACTGCTGATGACGGTGGGTTTGTTCTTATAATTGTAATAAATTTGTATTATGAATGATTGTGTAATGTGTAAATAAACACAACTTTATTCAGCAAAAAGAGGTGTTTTGCAGATGGTTTTCTGGATTTGTTAAATCAACATTATTATGTTTGACATTAAAGGGATTCTATAGTGTTAGGAATACAAATCTGTATCCCTAACAATATAGAACCCTCTGGTCCCTCCTCTGGACCCTTTAGTCACTTACCCGATTCCAGCACCAATGTTTCTTGGTGCTGCGTCGGCGCTCAGCCTCCTCCAAAGTCATCTGAAGAGGGGGTTAATGCATTTGTGTGGCACAGGCAGCAAGCACATTAGGCCCTCCCCATCTAAACTTTTTACTATGGGGATTTTACTGATGCTGGACGCCCTCATCTCTACATTAGTTCCATCACTAAATATAGTGGTACATTTCTGCAAACTGAATTGTATTTTTAATGAGTAAAGTAAGGTAATGCATAAAGTAGACAAATTTTTTTTTTATAATTGTGAATGTAAACTGCCTGTTTAACTTACAAAAGAACATATCTATTGGCCCACACACTATGCATCCTGCTTTTTTCAGAAAGTTTAATGGTAAGTCATGCCAATGTACAACATTTACTTAAAGGAACACTATAGTCACCTAAATTACATTAGCTAAATAAAGCTGTTTTAGTGTATAGATCATTCCCCTGCAATTTCACTGCTCAATTCACTGTCATTTAGGAGTTAAATCACTTTGTTTCTGTTTATGCAGGCCTAGTCACACCTCCCCTGGCAATAATTGACAGAACCTGCATGAAAAAAAAAAACTGGTTTCACTTTTCAAACAGATGTAATTTACCTTAAATAACTGTATCTCAATCTCGAAATTGAACTTTAATCACATACAGGAGGCTCTTGCAGGGTCTAGCATGCTATTAACATAGCAGGGGATAAGAAAATCTTAATTAAACAGAACTTGCAATAAGGAAAGCCTAAATAGGGCTCTCTTTACAGGAAGTGTTTATGGAAGGATGTGCAAGTCACATGCAGGGAGGTGTGACTAGGGTTCATAAACAAAGGAATGTAACTCCTAAATGGCAGAGGATTGAGCAGTGAGGCTGCAGGGGCATGTTCTATACACCAAAACTGCTTCATTAAGTTAAAGTTGTTCAGGTGACTATAGTGTCCCTTTAAGATTTGTTTTGCCAATCAAAATGTTAAGTGGCATGATCTTAGTAGAGCCAGCATTCCTTTCATTTATAAAATGAATTTGACTTATTAGTAATGGTTGTTGAAAAATTTCTGTATTCATTGCAATGTCGTTGAAATTCCAGCAAAGTCAAAAGATATAATAAGACAAAGGGAGGATCGATTTGTAATAAGTTTAAGCCCCAAGTTGACAAAACCTGACATAAGGCGGAGCTACAGACGTCATGTTCTGTCAATTCCCTCAGGTATGGCAATTGACGGCTATGGAAATAAATAATTATTTTGCCCACCATTAGTGATCAATTCTCATGCATGAAGGAGAATGCAGCACTGATGTGGGCTCCTGGCAGATAACGCACCAGAAGCTGAAGATTGAAGTTGGCAGCGTCTATGGGGTATGGCATTGGGTAGGTATAACTTATTAATGGAACATGCCTGGACCTCCTTACCATAAGAATTGACATTACTATTGATTATCTTGCAAAATATGTAAAGTCCCCGGAAGAAGACAGAGCTACTTTAAACAAATACATTTGCAACTATGAATATAGGAACATGACTATAGGAAAAAAATATATAAATGAAGCACACATAACATTGGCAGGGAGCTCGATAACAGCAGATTGCAGTGTTAGTCCTGAGTTGACAAGACCAGGAACTAGGGCTTAATTTGGGAAGGGATTTGACAGCATTGAAGAGGACTAATGGAGGTCAAAACTACAAGTGCCAATGGATGGATGGATAACCTTGCTTTTGTGCAGCTGTACATTTATTTATTCTTTTGCCACTCTACATCAGGAAATAACCATTGCATAAAGTTTTTTTTCATTCTCACTTTGTTTATATTATAAACAAATTATCACTTTTATTTCCTTTGATATAACTAACTGTATATAAAATATAAAACACAGTTATGTACATGCTATATTCGGTTTTATGTAAAGAGTTATAGGTCAATGCACAATAAATAGCATGACCAAGGGAAAAATCTCACAAGAGAACTTGAAACAACTCGAACAGCAGTTTCACTGATGTGTTTTCATCAAACAGCTCCAAGGTACTAAAGTAGATATCTTATCAACTCATGTTGGACAGCTGTTGAGAACACATACTCAGTGATCCTATTTAAAATAATGGGAAGTGCAAGACTGGTTAGAAATGTTGACAGGTTTCTGTTTAGAGGGGAGCTCATTGCAGAATCTGTAAATCTCCAGAAAGAACTTCAAAAGTTATTTTCTTTTCAGTTTTTCAAATACTTTTCATCTACCTTATTTTGTATATATATATATATATACTGGTAGGAAAAAAATAAATAAAATACTTACAGCTGAAAGAAGTACAGTTGCTGCACATTTTACTCATGTAACATAAAGAGAAACTCTATGACCAAAAACGTGGAAAAGTAAAACATATAATTAACTGCAAGTAGGCATTTACAAAATTTGCATGAATATTTCTTAATTTCTAGAAACATAGCTTTCAGTTTTTTGTTGCAGACCTAGCCTTTATTTTTAACCATATAATTAACCCTTGTGCCACTGAGAGTTATTTGGCTACTTGCCAACTACTTCACAAGGAGTTAGGATTTTTAAAATCTGGGCTCAGATTTGTATAATTTGGATCTAGA